CCTCAATTTCTATGCAGTTACAAAAACTCTGGGTGGGAAAATCAATCTCACCTTTGCTTAGAGTGATGTTATTTAGAAACTATAAAGAAGATGCTGTAGAATGATGGAAATACCTTAAAACCTTTTAGAAATACTATAACATTATTGGAGCACAGAGGCTTTTTGTAGGCTTCCCTTGTAAATAATATTATTTATAATAGGCCATGGTCAGCTCAATAACTACAACTCAGTAAGAAAAAAAACTCTTTATGGTAGTTTTTTGTTTTCAGCTTACACTATTTAGAGCTTAGTCCTGTTGTTGTATTGAGTTTTATATGTTGTTGTAGTTCTGGTTGTGGTGGCGGGATGGGTTTTTTTTGTGATTATGGACTTGACCTTAGGCTAAGGCTACTGAGGATCTAACAAATTCAATTTATGACTTCGAGAACATATAATATTGGAAGTCATCATAAAAAACGTGCATCATGGGATGTTAACAGTCACTTTATTACATTACTCTACATCAGAAAACTACAAATGTTTGTGGTTATACCACTGAAGTGTGAAGCACAATATGCCAATTTTAAAAGTAAAAATGTAAAAGTCTTAATTTTCAGATGGCTTTGTGCTGGAATAATAGAAAAGTAAATGTCTACTTTCACCAACTAAAGTGAATATTTTTATAATCACTTTAGGGGAGATCAAGCTGATTCCATTAAAGCCATTTAAGCAAACCCTGCTGTTGGGGACTTTAATATTGACATCACAGTCTACTGTAGCCCCCAATCCTCTTAACAAAGGTCCAGTGCTAATTTTGTTTAAAGGTTAGCATATAGAGGGCCCAGCTGGACAACAGTGGCTGTGTGATGGAGAGAGGGCGGAGTGGGAGCAGGTGATGTTAAGAGGCATCCAGAGGTGAGGGTGATGACAGCACTCTTGGGCGAGGTAACAGCCGAAAGGCACTTCAGCTGGCACACCAAGTGTGAAAAGCGCAAACCAAAAGTTCACATTAAGCACAACATTAGCTTGTATGCCCTCAGACACTGCCACAGACACACACAGACAAACACACTCCCACATGCACACAACCTTTCAGCCACTTATTCAAAAAGGTGGTTGAAACCCTTCTGGAAACACACTATGAAAATGCATTCTGTCATTTCAGGAAGAGAGTATTCAATATGCAAAAATTTCACCCACAGTGGCATTTCACTGTTTCCACATCACTTTAGTTAGCCAGCAGCATAATGCTAGCCCAAATAAATAAATGGCTCAACCAGACAGTCTGCTAATTAGCCAGTTAGCACCATCTTGAGTCACTCAATAAAAGCTGGCCAACCAGCTAGTCGTGTCACACTGTCAGCCTTATTCAGTCAAATATTAAAGGCGACTGAGAGCTCGACCTATTTCTTTGACAAAATAAAATGCCGTCACAGTTACTTGGACAATGACTTTAAGAAATAAAGTCATAAACTGAGCGAATCTATTGTGGCTGCTGTCATCTTAGGAGGCATAAACCAATCACACAGGAGCTTTGTCAGGATGCCTGCTTTCTGTCCGTCAGCACAGTGAATGTGTGTGTGTGTGTGTATGTGTATGTTTATTTGTGTGCGTTTTTGAAAAAGTGGGTTAATGTCACTGAGGCTTAAAATTGACAAGCTGATCCGTGATTACTGACAACCTGATGTATAAGACTTTTCCTCCTATGAATCAGTGAATGAATTCATATTTTTACTTGATTTTGATTTTCCCAGAATTGTTAAGAAAATGTTTTCAGTCCTTTGTGGACCCTGCAGAGCTCTTCATACATCATTGTTATTGGACAAATTCAGACAGAATGTGTGCTGTTGTGTGCTGAATATGTGGTTTATATAATATGAGGTTTTCTTTGGTTAGTCTTGAAAAGAACATCACAGCAATCAAGCCAGCTAGAGATAAAAGCATCTATTAGGTTTTTCATACCAGCCTGTCAGAAAAATGGCTGTACCTGGAAAGAGGATAAAAAAAATTAATAGACCGAGGCTCTATGTTTTGTTCACAGGATTCTAAGCTAATGCACAAGGTCTTTGTTCCAGTATTTAAATGTCGTCTCATCTATATGTTCAGTTCTGTTACATCCATAAATTGATACAATCGCTGTACTCAACTACCTATCAATAGGACTGATATATCACTGATTCAGAAATCTACAACTACATTTTGTCTGCACAGATGGTAGTTAGATGAGAAGTTTGATACCAATCTCATATAGCGATTGGATCCATCGCCGGTTGTTTTTCATTAGCTGTTGGGTGATTTTTGTCGTTTCATTTAGCTAATTCAATGGTCTGCCTTCAAAGAATGAGAGCCGCTCATTGACAGACGTTCAGCTGCGCAGTACACACACTGATCTGAAGAACGAGTGAAAGGCTGTAGAGTTTGGGTATTTTCACATCTAACTGCAGTGAATTAAGGGTTTATTTTGACTAGTTTGATGACAGAATATAGTTAAAAGGTGATTCACAGAAGTCTGCCCCCTTCACTCAGGGGGAAGACAGGAGAGGAGAGGCATGAATCGGGTAGAAGAGCGAGGGTGGTCGGGGGCATCAGAGAGACGGTTAGACACCAGAGTTGGTGATTGTTGGAACAGTGGAAAGACTAATAAAGACAGTTTGGTCCGTTTTATTTTGGACCTATCAAGTGTGTTTTAAGATTGCTTAACAAGGTCTTAGTTTGGTATAAGACAGAAACTTGAAGAGTGCAGCAGTATTTTTCTGTTTAATGAGGGAAAAAAACCTTCTCCTAATTTCTTTACATTTGATGAGTTTATTTTCTTTATTAAATCTATTAGAGCTTGTTGCCCATAGCCATCGGGGGGGCACTCACACAGCATATACACACAGGCTGATACATCAGCAATCGCAGAAGTCTTATACTGATGGTGGTGAGTTGGAAAATATTAACATACGGCCCAACCCTATTGCCCAATATAAGGCTAAAGCCAGCAGCTGGCTCACTTAGCTTAGCATAAAGACTGGAAACAGGAGGAAACAGCTACCCTGGCTCTGTCCAAAGGAAGAGGTTAAAGTGTTACAATGGAGTATTTCAGCAAAGTTGATAAGCCATTTACAACTTTAGAACTTTCTAAAACTTAGGAGGTCAAAACTTTAAAAAAGAACTACAGTTTTTCATTGATTTTGTTTCTAAATGAGATTTTGAATACTAATACATTTTATAAGGTGTTGTATGGTCAATTTTCAGCACTAGAGAGAAGGAACAAGTAAGTAAGCAGGGGGTAATATGCAATCACAAACACCTCTATGGAATACATTTTTCCACTATAAAATCAAACAAATGTGAAAATCAAACAAATGTGAATTGCATAACTGCAATGCTTAACGTTTGGATTTGGATTTTAGGGTTGGTGTGTCTTTTGAGTTTGAGTTGCTTCCAACACAAATTACAGGTGATGGGTCAATTATGAATATAATTAGGGCATCATGACTGATAGAGCCTGTGTCTGTTCAGTCTCGGTCACTCAGTCCTGGGAGTCGGGAGATAAAATCATATGTGTTTAAGGTCTAAGGACTTGAATTGGAGCCATCACTATCACAGGTTTGCCATGAGCGACAACTACTTCAAAAGCATCCGTGCAGAGCCATAGCCATAGCTTTGGCTCTATCCACCATCTCATCTCAATTTAACATTCTTCTGCCTGTTACTTCACCTATTCCATGCAAATTACAGAATAAATAAGCAAGTTTGGCTGTTTTTGATGGTTTTCTGTTGGTGCTTTGGCACAAGAACGCACAAGATGGTTTGTTGCAGAATTTCAGCAGCTAATGATGCAACTCTGTATAACACGCTCTTTCTGACTGTCAAAAATAAGAACCTGTGTATGTTGGTGGAAACATCTATATACACAACATACACAACACATCTGACTTTGATTTCAGCTTTAAAGGGGTAGTATAGTACCCATAGCATTGGAGTTCCCTGTCTGTTTTACAGTTTTCCTGGTTTACTTTTTAGAAAATTCTTTGCACATCTCAGGGCAGAAAATACACAAGCACGATGTTTTTATACAGGAGCCTGGATAACAGCATTAAGAAATACTTGCTGATGTAATTGGGTGGTTTACAATTAAACATTTCTTTGTTTGTCTTTATTCAGACAAAATAAATTTCATGTACTCAACATATTCGATAACTGAACACGCTCACAAAACAAAACCGATTGTGAGAGGGTCAGATAAGTAATTGGAGAGATTACAGTATATTTGTTCTTTCCTGAGTAATTATCTATCCACAAGAGAGAGAAGAAGTTCATTGAAGTTTCAAGGATATCACAAAAAAATAAAAAATACGGCATCTTGCAGATTGAAGTAAAAACTCTCTTTAACAGACCAGAGACAAGACAAATTCTTCATGTTCTTAATTAAAAATGCTCTCTGATTGGAAACCTTGGTGGTAAAAAGTTTCCAATTCAACCCTGGAAAGCAAAGAATATCAAAGTATCTATGTTACTACATATTGTAGCTGATGTGCATGTTTTATGATTTATTTAACAAAAGTACATGCAGTATTTTTACAATTCCAGGTGTAAAATGGTAAATGTACACGTATAGCCCCTATTTAGTCTTCCGACCACTCAAAGCACTTTTACACTACATGCCCTTCACACACATTCACACAGTGATGGCAAAGCCCATTAAACAGAAACTCGGGAGCAATTTGGGATTCAGTATCTTGCTTAAGATACTTCAACATGAGGTGGGAAGAACCAGGGATTGAACCAACAACCCTTCAAATTAGTGGATGACCAGCTACCTCTACCCTACCTCTGACCCACATCCGCCTGATTAAAACCTCAACCTGATAACTTTTTTTAAGGAAAAACTTAAAACTTTAACATTGACCACAGAGGCAAAGCATGAACGGCAGCTTCATAGCACCCCCAAAATGAATATACTCGACACAAAATGTGGTTTACCTACCAGAGAAGCCAAAATCAATATTTGTGAGCATGAGTCTCCGACTTACCTCTCGTCGCCGTGACGCCCAGCAGCTTTGTTTGATCTTCCAAACGACGGCGGCCACCAGGAGCAGGGACAGGAAGCAGCTGCGGACAGACAGGGAGAGGAAGAGACGAGTCAAAAAAGGAGAAAAGGACTGAAAAGAAATGAGAAAAACTGGGAGCCCTGGGGACATTTAAGGTCCCATTTGTAGCTCAGAAGTGCAAAACTATGTGTATCAGTTTCTGTCATAAATAAATTAATCAATGAGTACTGATTTTTTCTCCTCATGCATATTCATGTGTGTTTTGTGACTCATGCCAGAAGAGGTGATTACAGCCCACATCAATCTGTATTATTTTTAATGAGTTACAGGTCTGAAGCTTGTCAACCAACCTGTCTCCTGATAAAAAAAAAGGCATAAGCTCCTGCTCTGCTATGATAAGCACAACCTTTAAAGTTGTTTTGACATATCACTGCAGTTTGCCCCGTCTGTACTGCACCTCCAACAGCATGTTATAATAAGTGATCACCAACTGCTAAAGAGGATGAGAAGTTATCCAAGTTTCTTAAAAAAAAAAAAAGTAAAGACCCTTTTTTTTTTTCAATAACTCAGCCTGCTTTAAACAGAAAACGTGACCAGATAAAGAATAAACAGTTCACAGTTACAGTTCATAAAATAATTGAGGATGATGTCACCGGTTCACAAGATGCAAGGTGCAAGTGTAAAACGGTGCCAGACAGAGAAAAGTAGCTGTCGAGAGAGGTGGAGTTATGAGAGAAAAAAAAAAATAATTGCCATCTACACCTTGCACTTCACTCCATGAGATTGCCAGGAGGTTTGGGAGGGCGGTAAATCAGACACACACGATTGTTTCCTTTGTCAACACCTTTACATCCATTCACAAACATACTTTAACTTCAACTGTGATTGTATTATTACTTGCATGACAGTTATTTTATTCTGGATGATTCCCTTCCTCTGACGTTCAATAGCATCTTTGTCATCTCGATTTGTTTTTTCTGCACTTTCTTACTTTGACTGAATATGATCCTTTTTGCACTGTGGGATTTTTTTTTATTTTATTTCTGCTTGAGCACTTACTGTTCTTTTTTTTACTCCATTTTCAGTGTTTTTCACATTTGCGCAAATAAAATATACAAAGAATCAAAACCCTGAGTGTTCTTTATACAAAATTGCCTTGAGGTGATGAAGGCAGGGGTGACATGTCTTGGAGGTGGTTTGTTAGCTGTGTCAGTGTGTGTGTGCATGCGTGTGTGTGTGTGTTCCCTGTCTCCTTCCACTTCCCCAGGCTGCTTTCACACTTGCACTTAGGAAGCTGTGAAGAAGACAGGGAAGAAAACCATAAAAATAAAGACAAAGAGAGAGAGTGTGTGTGTGTGTGTGTGTGTGTGTGTGTGTGTGTGTGTGTTGTGTGTTGTGTGTTGTGTGTCTGTGTGTGTATACATCAGACACAACATCTCCTGCAATCTGAACTTCATTCCCTGACTGTCGAGCCTTTTGCTGATTCCTGTCAGCGTTCCTGTGGCTCTCTGGCCCAGAATTCCTATATTACAGCTCACGTCAGTGTTGGCAACTGGCTGCTGATGAGGGAGGTATCAGCAGCATGGTGGCAAAAAGCCTGAACACCAATGATCCAAATCATTTTGTATTTTCCTCCAGGAAAAAAAATCCAGTGTAAAAATAGAAATTTGCACATTTAAGTTTTATGTCATCTTTGACGGCTCAATTTTGACAGGTAAAAAACGAACAAAGTCCTTCCGAAAACTGGGAAACTGAGCAGTAGGAGACATAATTATGTCACAATGAGGCAAAATAAAAATATGTCTGAACTGAGCAATGGATACATTATGTTTATTTAGGGTTTAATAGTCTAATGAGCTACATTAACATTACATTAAACTAGAAGGTGCATCACTATTCTCATAATACAAACTTAGTTCTGTAAAAGTCTGATCACCGTCACTGCAGCAGCATTTACAATCTAATTTAGCATTCATACAATTAACACGTTTTTTACTTTATTCCCAGTGCCATGCATTCAAACACTGTATAATGTAACAGGAAAAAATGGCTAACAGTCTAAATGATGTTAATTGGGTTCTATTTGATGTTTGGCTTGCATGTATATAGTGTTGTATAAACACAATTGCTGTTTACTTGAGACGCTCAACACTGCTGATGTGGCTGTTTACATGCACACAAGAAATCAGACAATGCAATTACACCCTGTGCTAACTTGGTTACTGTAAAAGAGATGCAGAGGTGAATGATCACATTTCTATACAATACAATGCTTCCTCAGCTTCCTGTGTGTTTGTGTGTGTGCTTGTGTTTTTGTGTGTGTGTATCAGCAATCAATTCAGTTTGAATATTACATATAGTCTATATTAATATAGATTTCTGGACTTTGCGTTGGTTTAATTTTTTGTTGGACCATTAGTGGAATTATCCGTATGTATGTAGACTGAACTCTGCTTTCACAGCGATACTTGTCTAAAATCTTTGTCATGGGATAAGATTATGCTTTATTGCTCCCTCTAAGGAGAAATCTGGTTCTTAATAAGTACGGATATTCGTGCGATATAGTCAGCAAAGCAAAGTCAGCGAAGTATAGTAGGCTATATATATATAATATGATACAATCAGATATAACAGTGTACACCAGAACTTATGCCACTACTATTAACATTATTGGTTATCACTTTATGGTGTTTATGCATGCATGTATGCATGTATGCATGTAAAAATATAGTAATTGTATGTTAACTATTTTTTAGGGTAGGTTGTGGGTAATGTATTTCTGGGCATGTATATTGATTTGCATTTATGATAGTGAAACAGTGACTTTGTATGCATGCTTTGTGAGGGTATCTCTTTTTCTTACTCTTTACCCAGTAGTCCTCATAAATATAGTGTTTTGTTTTATTACTGCTGTACTGCTGATTGTATCTCTACAGTCAAATTATGATAAAAATATGATCACCAAATTATTATATATTATGGTTATAGGTAGATCGAGTACTTTATTAGTCCCAGCGGGAAATCTGTACCATTAAAGCAGCTTGGAGAAAAAAAAGATAATGACAAAGACAATGAGCCAAAGATTATACACGTGCATTATTATTTAAAAAGCTGAATAGAAACTCTGATAACATGGTCAAGAAATCAGTTTTCTCCAGAGAAGTCCTGCTGGAAAAATCTTCAAATTGTATTTTAAGAAATTAGTTTGCCGACCTGGTTACTTCAGTGCACGTGAACACCCCAAATTACAATCTCAATATTTAATCATTTGGCCGCTTTACTTTGAAAGGATTTTTTTTTCAAATCCATATTATAGTGAGGCGTTTAATTTATATTTACAGTGCTGTTTATGTTTGCTTTGCAACTGTTTACAAATGATGCCACAATTCACTGTAATTTAATTTAATTCAGTTGATAATTAATATGTTAATATAAACACAAGTTATTAATGTTTACAGTTTGATATTATTTCATGCAGTCCTAATGGCCTACAAGTAATAGAACAACTGTTTTTTGGTGTATTGTCATTAAAACTAGAGGCTATTTTTGTCAACAGACAAACCTTGCTGCCTGACTACAGTATAGTCACTTATTTATTGAAAAATAGAGAATAAAGTAATGTTTCTACTACTCCCTAGAGTCCACCAAGTCTCTGCAGCAGTATTCAATGCAAAATTACTGGGATTGATCAGTGCGATCTTTCATTGATTTCTGTGTACATTTAACCACACTGAGACTGATATATAAAAATACATTGTTTGCTTTATTGTTCCCAGTGCAGCTGATTTTCTTCTTTTGTTTAAGAACACAGGAATAATGGATGTGAATTCCCTTTCAGGGGTTAGAAGAGGATTTAATTAGAAACTCTAAGTTGAAGGATAACTTCTCCAGACATTCGGGCCTTCCGGCAAGACCCCTCGCAGATTTTTCTCCAAAGTTTTACCACCTTTTCAATCTAAATGCCTTTGCCCATTTTAATACTGGCTGTGATGCGTTCAGATCTTTATTCATCGCTCCCCCCACCCCCCACCCCCCCTCGCGCCCACCCTGTGTGACTCTTTAAAGTGCCATCCATTCAGAAAATTCCCTTATCTCTCCAGGCTGAAGAGGACTCTTAAGCGATCCATCCGTTCAGCCATCTTATTGATCTGGCTTCCTGCTCGCTGCTTAAAGAGCGACACGGTGCTGATGAATGACCCGCGTGAATAGATATCAGCCCCACGTCAAAGGCCTCCATGCTCAGCAGGGTGGGAGGGAAAAGTAGGGGGAGACAAAGGACGGGAGGAGAAGGAAAGACAGAGGGACAGTGGGAAATGGACAGTAATGGTGAAAGATAGAGAGATAAAGCAAAGGCAGATAAGAGATTATAAAATGCAAGCTAATTTCAGAACAACGGCCAAAGAAAGAAAACAGAAGACAGATATAAAAATATATTGACGGCGGAACACAAAACATTCCGAGTGCTACTCTATCTGCAAGTTGTTGAGCCTACAATTTCAATTACTGTGGTCGTATGGATCTGCACTTCAGACTGAAGTTTAGCCAAAATCTGGAGATTCAACTGATTCCCTTACCATCCGTTGCGTTCATTCATACTAGTGAAATGACGCACTCAGGGAATACAGGCCGCCTCTGAGAATGAGGTATGCTCAAATTAGTTTTGTGCCCTCTAAAATCTTTATACTTCCATAGACAGAGACCGTAAGACAAAGACTGAAGGAAAAACATATAGAAACTAACAGCAGAGAGACAGACGCAAAAACAAAGAAGAAGATACAGATGGAAACCGACAGAGCAGTACGCTTCATTTGATCTCAACTTCCACAAGGGAAGCTGGCCAAGTTAGTCAGGCTATAGCTATCACCTCCCCCTAACCACTCCATCACACCTAGAGCTCCCACACTCACAGGGAATAGAAATGAGCATCCACTGGCAGATGCTGCCTCACCAGTACCACCTGCAACAATCACACCTCACCTCCTCGTTTGAGGCGCTATTGTCACATTAACCGAAATTCAAATAGTCTGATACAACTGTACATGTTTTAAAGGCGATGTTTAA